CAAGTTTGCAGCTTCAATCACCCTCCCCTACCACCCCCAGCCTTTGTCAGTGTCTGGATGTTAGAAAATACATGGAGGTGGGCAGAGCAGCAATAGATTTAGGTGTATGTGTAGAATCCCAACTTCAGTCCAGAGATTGGACCTGATCCCTCCTTGGCCCCTTCTAGGCAAGGATTCCACAATGTGTCACACACAAAGAACTGTGCTCTTCTCACTCAGTTTAAACTCCCTTGAAAAGCCATTACGCTCAGTTAATCATCCCATGAAACAGAGGAGGGGAACTGTTCAAATAGGTTTTCAGCATGTGCTCCTTTTAAGGTTTCTGACTCAAGAAGGCAAGCAGAAAACACAGCATAGTATAAAAGGTGCAAATGTGGTGGGATTCTTGATCTGCTGTGTAAAAAAAAAAAGGCTGAGAAGGCAATAGGTTGGATTCAACCAGCTTTTCTGCTGTTGAAGAAAGGAGAAAAGGGTCCCTCCCCTTTGTCCACCAAGAAGGCTCTGCTGGGAGTGACCTTTATGGACAAAAGCCATGTGGGATGAGGACTGTAATAAGGAGGGGGATTAAGTGCGACTATGTGAGAAAAACTGGTTGGATTCAACCCAGTATCTCTCAGGGGACCAACTTCTGTTGGAATAAGCATGCACAAGTTTTGGGGTTACATGGAGTCCTCAGTCAGGCAGCATTCTTGATGCAAAATGTAGTGTTGTACAAAACCTTGCATACCATCACATCAAGCAAAATTCTTCTGAATAGCTAAAGAAAAGCTGCTCTGATGTATTTCATGTTTAAAGTTTCCATCTTTCCATAAATTCTGGATGAATCCAAATCCATTTAAAATCCAAACCAGGCTGAGAACAAATACAGGTATATTGTTTGTATCTGTTGGATAGATTGACACACCTCTGTACTTGGCTGTTCACAGCGCAAATATTCAGAACACTTCAGATGCATACTTTATGGTGAGTTTTTAATAAAGTGTTGAGGGTATTCACAGCTCTGTTATGACATCAAAATACACGGGTGGTGGGGAATCAATCCACGTTTAATTCGACACATAAAAACCAGTCTGGCCATCAGGCTCGGGGACCAAGACAGCAAGAATCTCCTTTGCAAACAACCAAACTCAAGCATGTGAACGCTCACAAACACACAAACCAAGACTGCTGGGCAATTTCATTTTGGAAATAACCTTTGCTGACACTAAGGCCCCGTTCACACGGCGAATTTGCCGCGGGAGAGCCACAAGTGGATGGCGGATTTTCCAGCCGCGATCACACCACAACATCTGGGAAGTGGAGCACACCCGTGACTAACCTGTGGCATGCCGCTGAAAATGCGTGTTAAAAAAAATACCTCACAAAGGTGGTGGCAAACGGTTTGCCACGGGCTGCCTCCAGACTCCCATGGTGTGATCGTGCCGGCGCGGCTTTTCCCCTCCAGCCATCTGCGTTGCAGCGCACACGCCGAGGGCTGGAACGGTGGGTTGCCACCACCGCGTCTGATTGCATTGTCGCACAGCAAATTGCCACGCCTCCCCCCCCCCCGCGTTTTCCAGCCCGTGTGACCAGGGCCTAAGTAGGGTGAGTTACTGTGTTAACTCAAGTCCCAAATGAATAGAAGTCATGCTTTTGCAAGCAACTTGGATTTGTACTAGCAGTTAAGGTCTTGCAAAGCTGACCACCAGGCCCACAAAACAAAAAGCAAACTAATAGGGAGAGGCTATTTTTCTTTCTTGCTCTGTACCTATTGGGTGTGTGCTCTCTCCTCTTGATAAAGGACTGAAAAGAATTTCTTTCCTAGATGTCAGTTTATGAGCTGATCCTGTATTTTGACGGCTGCCAAGGAGCAGTAATCCCACTCTGGGAAGTCAGTTGTGGGCGCCTCTTGCTGCCTCTTCTTGGCCTTGCTTCACGTGGAAACTATTCCCCACACATGGGCTTGCAGACCGCTTCACGTGCTGGTTGCAGAGATGACAAAAGGAATAACTCTGCGGGAATTGGCAGGAAATGAGCTGCTCAAGGCCAAGTCTGGCTCACGTTTCCTTTCTGTAGTCCCTCCTACGAGAGTTTTGGGATGCTCTAAGCAGGCCCCGGCCGTTGAATAACTAGCCTCGGAGATAAATCTGTGCTGGCTGAACTTGGACAGGGGATGCCAAATTGCTCTCCGTAAAAGTAGAGAGGGGAGAAATCTCTGATGGCTCTTCTGGTTGTGTGGCTAAAAACCAGACATTCAGTAATGGAAATAAATTGTGTTACACTATTGGGGGGGGGGAGGAAAAGGGGGTGTCCCTTTTTATTGTGAACGATCAGCTTGGGCTCCCCTGGTTATTTTTAGGTAAGGATTTACATTTCCCCTTTCGCTCACTAAAAGGATGTTTCCAGACAAAAACAGAAGCAAAAGAGAGAACCGCCCAAGTCCCAGTTGTTGTTTTTTAAAGTGTGCTGGCTCCAGGTTGGGGTGGGTCGCTCTTGGGCACAGAGCTCCCTCAGTGGGTCCCCTCTGGATGCTGACCCAGAAAGAAACAATAAACATCCTTCCCTAAGGGCAGCAGCAGATCCTTGGATTCCCAGTTCACTTCACCACTGCTGGGCCACCACTGACAGCATGGGCCCCCCCGGGGGTCACGGATATCAGCCACCGTGTCTGTTGCCTCATGCTGCTCTTCAGAGTTCCCCTGGGAGGCTGAGCCCCTCTCTGTTTCCTTCTTTGAGGGACTGGGCATAAATGAAGATGGAACACAATGCTCTGCCCTTGCTCCTTCTTTTTGCTGCTTGAAGGAGGTGGGCTGAGAGCCTCCCCCTCAGCATGTTTCTGCTGATCCTGTGACCTACCTGCAAGAGGATATTAACCCACTTGAGGGCTGCAACCCACAGTCTCAGAACCGTGACAGTGGGTTATTACAGCAGAGTGTGTGTGTGTGTGTGAAGTGCCATCAAGTCACAGCTGACTTATTTTTTTTAATTGTATTTTTCCATGTTACAATCAAGCACATCCCTATTCTCACACATATTGTATTCTCTACCCTCCCTCCTCCTTCCTCAAAGTTTATAACTGTTTCTGTGTCTTCGGCGATAGTCCTTTATAAAGATCCTCCTTCTGTCCTTCTTGCTTCCTCTGTTTCCTCCCATCCTTCATACTTTTCTTCTTCCTTTTTCTCTTTAAATTCGTAGCCGAAGATTATTCCTGTTCTGTAATCAGAGGTGGGGAGTTTTATTTATTTATTTATTTATTTAATTTCACTTATACCCCGCCCTCCCCGCATGCAGGCTCAGGGCGGCTTACAACCATAAGGCACGAAGTGCAATAAAATGCAATAAAACAATTTAAAACAATTTATACATGGGACACGTCCAGGGTCCCGCATGACTAAAACCCTCTCTCCATATTGCACATGCCCTTTTCAGTCCAGGGGAGTATAATTTGGATGGTTATTTTTCTCACATATTGTTCTTCTGCCTTTTCTTATTTCCTTCCCCCCCCCCCTCTTAACTATTTATCCTTTCTAGCCAGGGGCACAAACTTAAGAGCTTCCACTGAAGCTCCCTTTGACTTTCCATGACCCATTTTAAATACAAATGCCACTTTTTCTTAATCTTCCCTATTTTTGGACTTATGGAAACCCAAGTAAGGGACTCTGCAGGCCAGTGAGAAGCAGAGGTAGATTGCCATTGCCTTCCTCTGTAGAGTCTTCCTTGGAGATCTCCCTTCCAAGTACCAACCCTGCTTAGCTTCCAAGATCTGACAAGATTGGGCACTACCATGCTGCCTTCCCTCCCCATTACAGCATTGCACTCCACCAGATACTAGCAACTCGATGGTCAGTTGCCAGCCTGTGCTTCCCCCAGGGCGGGTCTTCTCACTTAGCTGAAATTTAGCTCTGAAGCCCATTTACAGGTTCACCTCTCAGACATGGAACACATTAAGAATGCCTCTGACCATGTGCAGAATTTTTTTCCCCACTTGAGTAACCACAGCCTATCCTCAGGCACCTGCAATAAGAGCTTAATGGTCTCAGGTAGGCTTGCCAACTCTGGGTTGGGAAATTCCTGGAAATTTGGGGGTGGAGTCTGGGGAGGACCTCAGAAGGGTGCGATGACATAGAGTCCTGCCTCCAGAGCAGCCATTTCCTCCAGGAGAACTGGTCTCTGTAGCCTGGAGAACAGTTGGAATTCTGGGACATCTCCTGACCCGACCTGGAAGCTGGCAACACTAGTCTCAGGCAATGCTCCCTCTAAGCTGTGGAGTCTTGTGAGCAGAAATTTTACTTTGTGAGCTAATGGCATAAAAGATGTGAGCAAGCAATTTGGCTACTGCATCAATTAGTTTGCTCTGGAGCCCTCCTTCCTGAGCGAAGACAAAAATGTCTGAGCCAGGGGCTAAAAAAACTGTGAGCTGGCTCACACTAACTCAGCTTAGAGGGAACACTGGTCTCAGGCCAAAGTTTTTGGCTCCTGGACATGTTTGAGCCTCACCATATTGAAACGCAAAGCAGTCCGTCTTGGAAACACCTCAAGAGCTGCTTCGTGTATCACCATCTAATGGAGGGACACACAAAGCATTTTACATGTGCCCCTTAACACTGTAATGTGTGTGCATGGGAAGCATGTGTTTGGGGACGCATATGTCATAGAAATATACAGGCCAGGGAGCCAGAATTGCTCTCTCTGATGGCTTCATTGGTGGCACATGGTAGGTGGAGGGAGCAGGATTCTTGGCTGAATTGCATCCTGATCCAGGCATGTTGGAGGGGGGCCTCATCGCTTCTGCCCTCGTTCTGATCATTTCAGTGGCAGCCTTTGGAAGGAGGGCTTCAGCAGAATGTGAGTTAAGGCACTGTGGAAGGATGTCTGGCTTCCCAAGTCCTCCCTCTCGCCCCATCAGTACAGTTGGAAGCGGGAAGTTGAGATGGACCAAGCACTAGAGAGGGCTACTGGGCTGCTTTCTGTCCTCCGGCTTTTGACTTGACTTTTCACGCACTTCATTTCTTTCATTCCAGCAAACCAGCCAAGTTGTCTCCCAGCCCTCCACTGGACTCTACTGGTTAAGGACTTCGGCTTCTCGGGGGAAGGTGCAGCTGCTGGGGGAAAAAATGGAGAGGTTCCTGGATTCTACCTTTAACCACTGTTTGTTTGTACTCTTCCTCTCTGCTTACCTGAGCTCCCTGAGCCTTGCTCAATATGAACATTGGCCGCAGCAGCCTGGCTCCCCCCCAAGTCCGCCCCAGCAGCCCACTGATGTTCCCAGAATCCAGGTGCGGCTGGCAGGGAACAAGAGGAAGCACAATGAAGGGCGGATAGAAGTCTTCTACAACGGGGAATGGGGCACGGTCTGTGATGATGATTTCTCCATCCATTCTGCAAATGTGGTCTGCAGGCAGTTGGGCTACGTGGAGGCTGTGTCCTGGATCCCCAGTTCCAAGTACGGCAAAGGAGAAGGTAAAGTCCTCGCTCTTTTATTCACAAAACCATTTGTGTTGCTTTTGTCTGCTTTAACTTTCTGCCTATCATAAGGGATCTCTCTCAGTAATTTATACCTCGCTTCATCCTGAAGACTGGTGTGTGGGAGGGGGACAGATAAAAGTCTGGATGTTTTATTTATTTCTTTATAGTTTGCCTTTCTCACTGAGACTCAAGTCAGATGACAACATCAGGGAAAATGCAAGAAAGAAAATGCAATAAAGAGAAATAGGGAAAATGCAATAAAGAAAAATAGTATAAAACATAACCATAAATGATGCAACAACTGGATTACACAAATCTAAAAAAAAAACATATTCCCTTTATGCAAAGCACTCTCCAGACAATTTCCATTTACTGCAGCCCTGCTTCCTTTTATAAAAGAATGCCCCCTGTCTACCCTATCAACATTTAATTAAATCTAAGTGTCAAATGATAATCATGCATAGCATTTATAAAGTGGTGTGATGTGTTTGGTACGTTTTGCTTGCTGATGTAATCCTTACAACAACCCTATAAAGTAGAGCTGACTGGCTTGCTTAAAGATCTAACTGGATGTTATGGGAGAAGAGCCATGAGAGGTGCTGCTAGGCTGCTTTCTAGGGTTGCCAGGTCCCCCCTGACCACCGGGGGAGGGGGGAATGGGGGGATAGGGTTGCCAGATCCAGCTTGGGAAACTCCTGGGGAACTGATCGCTGTAGCCGGGAGATGGCCTGTAATTCCAGGAGGTCCCCAGGTCCCACCTGGAGGCTGGCATCCCTATTTCACACAGTGAGAGTTCTGCAAATGCAGCGGCATCTGTGATGGCCATGGAGCTTCCTTCCATACATGGGAGTTCCCTGCACAACTTCCTCCATGTTTCTCCTTCCTTTTGCATGGGCTCTCTGGGGCTGTGGTTATCATGGCTACACTGGCCACTAGCTCTCCCCTGCTTCATTCTTTTTCTTCATTTGTGTGCTATGGCACTATAGAAATATAATGGTTCTATTCAGATTTGAAAATGGAAAACAAAATAGCAAGAAAAATGGTGCCTGTGAGGGGGCTGATGGTGGGGAAAAGGCACCAATGGGGGCAGGACCATTGCAGGGCCTGAAAATGTACACCATTCCTTTCAGCATTTTAACATGCGTGAACTGTGTTCTTTCCAAAAAGACTGGAGTAAAGCAGTGTTGGGAAACAGCATTTTGAGGATGCATAAAACATAGAAACAGAATGATTACATCATAATGTTGTGTGGACGCTTCAAAATGAGCGCTCCACTTAGGGTTGCCAAGTGGAAAAACCTGCGGACCGGGGGAATCCCGGACTGCAGCTGGAGCAGGCGCGCTGCACGCACGTCACCAGGAAGTGACGTTATGATGCCGGGCACACTGGGGGCGAGGGCACAACCATCCAAGGGAAAACCATAGAGTTTTCCCTCGGATGACCGTGGCCCCGCCCCCAGCGTGCCCGGCGTCATAACGTCACTTCCTGGTGATGCGCACGCCGAGGTGGGGTTCCCCCCGGGGCCTGATCCGCCAGCGGTGGGGAACGGGCCTCTGGAGTGGGGGTTTCCCCGCCCCCCGGGAGGACTTGGCAAGCCTAGCTCCACTTTAGAAGCCAAGGAAGACCTCCCACACACACGTGTAAGGAGCCCTCCTGTTTATTTTAACAAAGCTGTAAATAGCCGGGATGGGAGGGAGGGGATGAGAATTTCCCAGGCTACCCTGGAAAATTTGGGGAGGGGCCATAGTTCAGTGGTAGAGCATCTTCTTGGTATGCAGAAGGCCCCAGGTTCATTCCCCAGCATCCCCAGTTCAAGGACCAGGGAACAGGTGATGTGAAAGACCTCCACCTGAGACCCTGGAGAGCCACTGCCAGTCTGAGAAGATAATACTTACCTTCATGGACCGATGGTCTGATTCAGGATAAGGCAGCTTCATGTGTAATCATGTGTCTTCAGACAGAGGTCGTTTCCACTGGAGAAAATGGCTGCTTTGGATGGTGGACTGGACTCTATGGCATTATACTCCGGGGAGGGGAGGGGAGGGGAGGGACCTCATTTGAGTGTAATGCGATAGAATCTGCCCTTCAGAGCAGCCATTTTCTCCAGGAGAACTGATCTCTGTAGTCTGGAGCTCAGTTGTAATTCTGGGAATTGATCTCTTTAGTTCGGAGATCAGTTGTAATTCCTGGAGATCCACAGTCACCACCTGGAGGTCAGCAACCCTAAGGGAATCTGTGAGGCGGCTATTTACAGTTTTTAAAAAGAAACAGTAGAGCCATTCCCAGAGCTCCTTTCCTTGCAGCTAGTGTTTGACCCTAAAGCCACCCACTAAGTTCATAGGTAAAATAACGAATATTAACAAGCTTGGCCATGTTGTTAATTAAGAGCACATTGGACTGGAAATCCCCAGTTCCGATCTCAGTTCGTGTGGCTGCCTTTGGAGGGTAAAGTGAGACGTTTCAGTCAAGAAACACAAAATGCCCTTTATAAAATAAAAAGTAGACATCTCAAACTATGTAAGTACCAAAATTTAGTTTTCTAGCTGTTGTAGAGGCATTTCCCCCCAGTTTTGATATTCTTGTCAGCGGGACCATGTGCTGATGATGCTTTTAAAGGCATTTAAGGAATATCCTCCTTTATTAGAGCCCGTGTGGTATATTAGTTAGCTCAGAAGGGATCTGGGAGAATCAGGTTGGAATCCCCACTTGGCCCTGGAAACTGTCTGGGTGATCATGGGCCAGTCACTTTGTTTTAGACAAACCCTCCTCACAATAGGGTTGCCAGGTCTGGGTTGGAATATACCAGGAGACCTTAGGGGTGGATCCAGGAGAGGGTGGGGTTTGGGGAGGGGAGGGGCCTCAGCATGGTACAATGCCATAGAGTTCACCCTCCAAAGCAGCCATTTTCTCCAGGGGAGCTGACCTCTATCAACTGGAGATCAGTTGTAAAAGTGGGAGATCTCCAGGCCCCACCTGGAGGCTGGCAACCCTACCTTACAATGTTGCTTTAAGGATAAAATGGAGGAGGGGAGAATGACTTTGTAAGCTGCAGGTTTTGCTCACCGTGATCCTTGAATGCACAAAGGGTTGAGAGCAGAATTTCTGAACAAGACTTTTATCCTGCCTCTTTGCAAACTGATAAAACAATATCAGACAAATGGCACAGGAAGGAATAAGGGATAGTGAAAAGGAGAGATTTCAAGTGGGGATATAAAGAACCAGAAAGAACTCTGTGATTAACCACAACATGGTTAATACTTGTGTATGCTTTGATGTCCTGAATTCCTTATCAACAAACGTGTGGGTGGAAACTGTTTCTGTTGCACAGGCTGATGCCTAATTTACACCTAACTCCTGAAGTCCACTTATGGGCACTGGGAGGACTTTCAGTCCAGAGTTGTCAGCCATTGGATGGCAACCTCTGGGAGACAGGGAGGGTAGGAGACTTACCCAAAAAGCATCCCACAACATTGCGACATCACTTCTGGCTGAATAATCAGAAATCACATCACTGTGTCTCAGGACATTCTAGGATTTCCCCAAAACTCTGTGGTAAAAGTCATAGAGTTCTGGGGAAATCCTAGAGTATCCTGCAACACAGTGATGTCTTTGGTTCTGTTCCCCACCACAAACCATTTACTCCATGGGCTTAACCTTTCCCACACGCTGCTTTCCTGAACTAAAGTGGTCCCAGAGAGCCACAATTTGCCCTACTGGGGAAACTTCTGTGTACTGTTGACTTCACTTAGATTTCCCTAATGGGGCAAATAGAACTCCCCCAGGCTATTTCAGGTTGGGAAAATAATATGGAGAAGGAGACAGAAGCCCCCCTCCCTGCAGTCCTGATCCAAATTGGACTTGTACATGCTTGGCAATTAACTACTGAGCAGTGCACGTCTGATTCAAAAATCTCATGGAGGCCATGAGGTAGACACAAGGTGATTTGAACAGGTGATTTGGGCCTGACAGCCAGTCTGACGTAGTGGTTAGAAAGTTAGACTAGGACCTGGGAAACCAGGGCTCAGTCCCCACTCAGCTGTGAAGGACACTGGGTAACTTTGGACCGTTTGCAAAATCGCATTACTTGCATGACTGAATGTGTTTTGCCACTTCTACCCACATGCCACAGTCACAAGAAGAATTAGGCATATGTGAGCATGGGAGGGACAAACACACCCATTGAATGTCTGAGACAAAGGCTTTGAGCCATCTCCCAACAAGCAGGAGGACTCTGGAACATTGAAGTGGCCTTCAAGGAGCTTGCCGTGCTGTTTTGCAGGCACCCCTTGAAAGGTGCCACCTAGATCCAGATGCCTGACCTCGTCTGTTGCCCTTATGGCTGCAATCAGGACTCCCTGGGGGGAAAAATGCATGACTGTTAAGCCATGTTAATTGCATACATAGGGGACATTCTGACTGGCAGACTCTTCTTCCATTTCTTTACAGGCAGAATTTGGTTGGACAACGTCTACTGTACAGGCAAGGAGACAACATTAGCCATGTGCACCTCCAACGGTTGGGGTGTGTCAGATTGCAAACACACTGAGGATGTGGGTGTGGTCTGCAGTGAAAGGAGAATCCCGGGCTTTAAATTTGATGACTCCCTACTCAACCAGATAGAGGTAAGCCCAAGTGGGAATAAAAGAGGGTTTGGCTCACAAAGCCTTGGCAGCTGTGCTCAGACCTGCAAGAACAAGCTGAATCCCATTCATTTTGCAAGCAACTACAACGGCAATCGGAGTAAACAACATTTACGTTCCATTTCAAATCGCCTTGATGAATTGGAAATAAAATATTAATCAAGGAAGGAGGCACGTTTGGGCCATGTTTGTCAGCTGCTGATTGAATCTGATGCCGGAGCCAAGCTGGGGACTATGGGAGGCCCCCTCTGTAGGCAGTCCTGGAGCTTTTCCAAGCCCAGAATTCCTGAAATTAGTGGCCAGGCCTAGAGCCTGGAGCAGACCAGAGGTGCTGTGCTGTTGACCTGGCAAGAATAAAAGGCTCAATTACATTTATTAATTTTCCTGATTCATTTGTAGTCTGCCTTTCTCTCTGATGCTCGAAACAGATAGTTAAATGCAGGGGTCATTTCGTAGAAAAAGAGGTGCAGGAGCTCATTAGCACAACTCATTAGCATAACTTATTTGCATGTGCCACACCCCCTGACATCACCGGAAGTGTGTCAGAAGGCAACACCCACCACTCAGGCTCCACTTGGATTGCTAGCTATTGGGGGGGGGGGGGGACTGCAGACCGGTCCTCGCAGAGGGGGG